ACCTAAGCTCTCTGGGTCTATGGACTAGCAGGCCCTTCTAGTAGGCCCGTTGGGAAGACTCCGCCCACCCACCGGACCCTCTCTATATAAGAAATCTGGATTTTGGCTAGAGACATGACTACATGACCGGCCGATTGCTGGTCTCTTTTTTATTGATTTTTCTGAATATCTCGATGGACCCAATGGACTCGAAGGACTGCTAGGACCTTCATATTTCTAGATATTCTGAGATTGAGTGTGTATCGATCCAGAATTTCGAAAATTTTGATTTTTCTGAAAATGTAAGTTTTTGGTCTTTTCGTTTGTGAAAATTTCATTTAAAATTCCCCATTTTATAGGAAAAATTGGATATTTTGAAAATTCTGAAAAAAAATCTTTTTGAAAAAAGGAAAAAACAAAAATTTCGATTCCAAAAATTTCTACAGTACCGGACAAAAAGAAATCAACTTTTAGTTTTTCGAGAGTATCTCAAAAACTATGAGAGCTAGGACTCTGAAATTTTGTATGTATGTTTTTGAGGGGCCGTCGTTTCAATTTGTCTTTGGATGGAATTGCAATCAGCAACGATCTACAGTCAATTTTGCGTGCCACAGAATTCAAGAGAAATGCCGCAATGTACCAAACGGAGCTCACCGAAATCACTCGTGCATTGGACGCTGCCCGGCAAAGACTGATGGTCGCAGAGCAAAGGACGAATCAACTGTCTGCTGAGAACAGGGAATTGAAAGCTGAAAGAGATCACTTGGTGAATCAGATCGAGAGACGAATACGAATTCGACCAATCCATCGGACGGCCAGAACATTAATTATAATTCCATAATATTTCTTTCTTTTCTTTTAATTCTTCTAAATAAATTTATTAATATTTAAATTTTCTCTTTTTACCACCTGCCGATTTTTTCTGTCTGTCTCAATTTGGTTTGATGGCAGGAAAGGAACTGTCCCTTGTTTTATTTGTGAATAATACAAAAACAGGATTAATCCAAGTTTAGCAGTATGCACCGTCGTGGTCCACGACATGTTGGCAATGTTCAGATAACTTGTGGATACAATACCTCCAAAAGCCAGCTAGCCGCGAATCAAAGTATTCATTTTTTTTCCTGTTTTTCACATAAATGGTGCAAATTTTCGTATTCTCTAGATGAGGTTGTATCTCTCCGAATATCCAATAATCTGATAGAGATCAGTCGGGACTATAAGTAGGTGAGGGAGAACGGTATTGCTGAAGCTGCTCAGGTCTGACTTGACTGCAGGTAAAAAAGGAAAAAACCTCATGTTCACGGAAAGTCACGCCGTACCTGAGCCGCTTTGGCTGGACGATTCTCCTTTACCCCCCGTTAAAGACCTGATTCGGCTCTATCAGATCATTGGTTATTCAAAAGTATACGACGTCATCTGGAGCTTAAGGACTTTAATACAATTGATGCCTGAAAAAATGGACTGGAGGGATACTTTGACTTGCCACTAGCTGGCTTTTGGAGGGATGGTACCCACGAGTTACCTGTACATTGCCAACATGTTGTGGATCACGACGGTGTATATTGCTAATTCTGGGTTATTCTTGTGTTTGTTTTATTTACTAATAAACAAATGGACAGTTACTTTCCTGCCAACCTAATAGAGAGGGGTCCGGTGGGTGGGCGGAGTCTT